AAACCATCTTCATGAGTCTTAGTTCAATCGCCAGGACTCTATGGTTCTACCGAAGGTTTTAAAAAACAGATCGGTGACCCAAATTGGCCACCGCAAAAACTGTGTTGGATCAATGGATCGGTGACTTGTATCAGAGAATCGGCTGGACCGGCTGTTTCAGCCTCAAAATGTTTTTAAAAAATCACTATAATTTCTCAAAATCTAGTTTTTTAGGTTTCTAAAAGAAATAGTGGCCATTGCATTATGGTTTTTTCATTATTGTGTAAAAAATATGTAAATAATGAGAACTTGTCTCATATTGAGTGTTGTTGTCTATTAAATTCATTTTATAATCAAAATAAAATTTAAAATGCAACATGGCAATAAAATTAATCTCTCTTATTGAATTTATTTATTTTATTTTTGTATTGGCTTAGGAGTTTTGATTTTTGAAAGAAGCTATATAGAACAAATTTAATGGAAGAAGTTGTCAGTAGACAGAGAATTTTAGTGGAAGAGGTTGTCACTCCATACAACACAAGTTGTAGCCAGCACGTGGAGGACAACTAAAGATTCACGTGAACAAGGGTGTGGTAGGGAGGACAACTAAAGCTTCATGTGAATGGTGTAAAATTGTTAGAGTTTTAAATTCGTAGAGTGGGCCCTCTACCACTAAAAAAGTGTTTCAAAAAATAAAAGACAAAGTAAATGTTTGAAAATAAAGGAAAATGCGAATTGGTTGAGTGATCCGATTCACTATAATACGAAGTTAAACAAAATTAGGGAAAAAATTTAAAAATCTAAAAATATATTAAAAAATAAGTGAATAGGTTCTCTAACGTCAGAACTTGTTCTATAAAATCAAAATAGCCGGTTTTGTCAGAGAACCGGTACGGACCAGCTCGAACCAACTGGCTTTGAAGGGGACACGGCCAGTTCCCAATATTTGATGGGAACCCGATTGGCCCCTCCAATTTCCAATACGGATCGGGCGATTCCAATCCGGATTGGCGATTTTAAAACACTAGTTCTCCCCCAACCCCTAATTTGTCCAATGGGTTTGGCACAGAGTAGGACCATAAATCTCTCTAGCCATAAAGGACACCTCCAAGAAAAAATGATTATCAAACCTCAATAAAAACCTTGATCACTCTCATGCTCCCAAAAATAGGCATCCCCTTTGTGGCTGATTTCAGATGTATTAGCCTTTGCAATCTCATCTACAAGGTGATTTGCAAAATCATCGCTAATGGATTTCAATCGTTTCTCTCCTTGATCATTAGCCCCAATCAAGGTGCTTTCCTCCATAGTAGAAGTATCTTAAGCAACCCTTAATTGCCCATAAACTCGTCCATAGCATGGTTAAAAACAAACTGGAGCACCTTCTGCATGTAGAACTTGACCTCCATAAGGCCTTTGATAGGTTCAAGTGGGAATTTACAATAAATGAACTCTAAATTAGGTAATTCTTAAATTGTAACCTATTGGAATTGTCCTCACAACATCCAGGCTTGCCATTATTTCAAGGGAAACTCACCCCATCGAGAAAACCATGTCCAAATTTAATAGTTGGAATCTAGAAACCTACCTTACCCCGGAGTTACCCTTATCAATTCATACCCCAACTCATTCACATACTATTGTTGTTCACCTTTCAAACTCCCTTCAACCTCCATCAACAACGTAGAGAAGCTAGAAGGAACTTCCTTTGGACCAACCAACAAAACCAAAGACACCCAAACTTTGTTAAATGGGAGCACTATTTGCTAACATGGACTTGATATCAAAAGTATTAAGGAAGAGAAAGAGTACAATGACATGACCAACACCGATGAGAGAGAGTATAATGACATGACCAATGCTGACAAGAGAAAGACTATAATGAAGGTGTTCTGGTGATGGCGTGCCTATGGCGAGAACGCTTTTGGTCAGCACCTATCATAAGATTAAGCATAAGAAGATCGGTGCCTATTGAATGCTGCAATGAATAGGTTGCAAATCCCAGATTGAGCTTCCTGAAGGGTATTACGTATTCCTTGTCTTCAATGTTGCAAACCTTTACGATTATCATGGAGAACCTGTGAGCAAATGTGAACCTAAATGGCAAGCTTAAGTGCTTAAGCGAGTTGTCAAAGCCACTCATGGGGTTTTGGATATTCGGACCATCGCCACTTGGCATGGTTCTTATAACCGATACCTAATTTAGCGGAAGGGTAAGCAAGTGCAAGAGAACACATGGATCTTAGAAGAAGACTTAAAGTGGATCGATGAGGAGGAGGAAGTTCTTGTCCAAGTAGGACTCGTGAGTGAGTCTTCCCTAGCTAGGGGAGATTGATGAATGTGTTCCCTGTTTGCAATGTTGTTAGACCTTTACGAGTATCATTGGAGCACCTGTGAGGATAGGTGAACCCGAGTGGGAAACTCAATTGCCTAAGCAAGTTGTCCAAACCATTCACCGGGTTTTGGATTTTCGGACCATCGCCACTCGGCATGGTTCATATAACCGATACCTACTTTAGTGGAATGGTAAGCCAGAGTAAGAGAACACATCAATCGAAGACTTAAAGCAGATCAATAATGAAGCATGGAGGAAGTTCTTGGCCAAGCAGGAGTCGATGGCTAGTCCTCCCCAACCAGGGAAGATTGATGTAATCGAATTGTGAGCAGCGTGCCTTCAAAATTACCTTAACTTTTTGCTTTTAGCTCAAAATTGGGCTCATTGGTACTCTACGGAAAGCTCTTTTGGAACCCTATAATGTCCCAACTCGGTCTACCAGTTGTGACAATTGATTTTGTCAAAAAAGTCTGTAGAGGACTGAGTAGCTTTCAATGTGCAGCTACCAAATCAGGGGTAGTTTCATCTATTTGGGCATTTTGGACTAGATTGTCTTTTATTGCTTGCTTACTTTCTGTTGACAGTTGTGATCTGAAGTTTGTAATAGATGGTCCAGATTGTGCTTGGTTAGGGTTAAAGACTATAAATAGGAGGTTATTATGTGAACTTGAGGTCATTTTTGGACTTCTAACCTTAAGGTTTCTTGGTTTATTCAATGGTGTGGCTATTGAGCTTTTAAGCTGCCTTTTACTATTTCAATTCATGGGTATTCCTTGTATTTTCCTTTCGTTTGCTCCTTCCTCCCATAATCCCTTTTTTGTGTTCATTGTGGATCTTAGGGAATAATGTGATCGTCCTCTGGGTTATGTGCACATTATGGTCCTTGGACCATTTGGTTAAAGGTGCTTTGTCGAGGAAGTGGTTACGTCATTTCAGTCTCCAATGTTTTTTTTTTTATATTGATAATTGCTGTATCTCTTAGGCCCAGTTTGGATGCATCATTTACGTCTCTTCTCATCAAATAAAATTGCAAGTTTTTTCACACTGAATTTAGAAATTTGGTTATTTTGTTTTATTGTGTTCATGAACTCTCTGGTTGCATAGGAAGAGTGAGGAGATAGAAACAAGGGAGATCTCTTCTTTGAGCAAAGCAAACACACTAAACCCAAGTACTCCATATCTCTCATTGCACACACACACACAGAAAAGAGAAAAACAAAGAAGGAAAAAGAAAAGAAAAAAACCAGATTTTCCCTCTAGAAACATTCAACCTGAAAATTTCACCAGAGGTGAGAGAAACCATCTGGTGCTTTACAAAGACCTCTTGCACCAGCAACGTGTGGCTTAGGAAATTTTCACATGAGAGAAAAACCAAATAAAGTTTCTGCAACTGTCACAGGAGAGTTGCAGAAAGGGGTGCCACGGTTGACCTCAAATGGATAAATTTGAGGGACTAAATTGGAAAATTTGGAAAAATAATTTAAGAAAAATTCATGAATGCACGGAATAAAGTCTAGCTTTATTATGGAAAATGACAGTTAATGGCACTGGTTTTTGGTAACAAACTAGATGGCCCAGTTTAGTATTCAAGAAACCTCATCGTTTTCTGTGATTTCTTTGGTAATAGCAGAAATGCCCAGAGTTCCATGTGGCTCAGAGTTCCAGCTGCTTTTAGAGATTAATAATGAGTTTCAGTCAAGTGAGGGGGGTGGGGGGGGGGGGTCAGCGGATGAGAGACAGAGATGCGTGTGCATACAAAGAAGGTTGAGTTGACAAGGTCAGCTGAAAATCTCACGAGCGAAAAAATCTGAGTCAGGCAGGGACTTTTTTAAATGTTGTTTTTGGCCTCGAATGAATTTTTTTTGGAGAACCAATATTCTTTGAACACCTGAACAGTTTAAAACATTGATAGAGGGATTATCTATTGAAAAATGGAGATTATTTTCTTGTCATCCGAAAATCTAACACCTTTGGTTATGTCTAGAGGTCCCAAGTTAACATTAAAAAGAAGAAGAAACTGCATTGAAATTTCTTGATCAATGGTTTATTAGGGGAAGGTAAAGTTAACTTCCTCAAGTCTAAAGGGATAATGGTGCAGAGTGAAGGGTGACATTTTTTATTTTAGAAGTGGTTGTGTTTTGCTGCGTGTGGTGCTAAAGCTGAATTTGATGGAAATTATGCTTATAGCTTTGCATGATTGGGCATCCCTGTTAATAAAATTTGGGTGCCTTGGTTATTATTTATGTTTGATACGCTTATCGACAATTATCTTTGAAAAAATTTTCTTGAAAACTGATTTTATTGGAATTGGGAGAGGCACTATAATCCCATGGAATATGGTGTATATTCATAATACATTTGTACCATAATCCAGTGGACTACGATGTACTCATATTCTCTCCGGGTCGATGAAATGATGGATGTTGAAGAGTGTGAGACCCATGACAACATGTGTGGGTTGGATCTCATTCACCCCAATGGACTACGGTTTTCCCTTTGTCCCTTGGATGTTTACCGTAACTTTTCTTGGAATTGAGAATTCAATAAATTTTCAACATTAACATGCTTGTGCTTCACAAAAAACTAATACATATGGATCAGATATTATTATTTTCATGACAAGATTTCTAGTGTTATTTTTAATATCTCCTTTGACCCTGACCAATCTCTTGCATCGTTTATTCAGAAACAAGCAGATGAAGGGCATAAAGCATGATGTTCAGCTGGTCTAATGCTTTATGTGCAGTTTATGTGATGATCATGGGGCCTCCCCTATGATGAAGAATAAGGGATATGACTTGGATGACTTATACTCAAGTTTACGTGTTTTTTGGGTAAATACTAATGGCTCTTGTACATCTTATTTATAATTATGCGGCTTGTATTATGCATCTCTCTGTCGATATATATATATATATATATATATAGAAAAGTCTTTCCAACGTTTAGGCGAAAATAAATAGTGATTTCGCTTATGTTCATCATCGTTCAAATTTCATCGTGCGGTCACGATTATCCAGTAGTATTTTATTTTTTTCATTTTTTTTCTACAAATCGGAATGACATGAAATTTGGAGGGTATGTACATCTTACTGAGGTGTATTTAATAAAAATATAAAAAAATTTATCCGCGAAAAATAAATTGATCAAAATACCATCGAAACTTTTCGGGGTATTTTGATCAATTTTTTTATGTAAAATATTTTTTTATAATTTTTGAATATTTCCCTATTTTTGATGAATATATGTTTTAAATATCAACCCTTTCGATTTGTAGAAAAAAAAATGAAAAATAAAACACTATTAGACAATCGTGACCTCGCGATGAATTTTAGACGGTGTTGCGTAGTGTTTCATATATATATATATATATATATATATATATATATATATATATGTATACACGAAAAGGTTTATATAAGGTTGCAATCTTATAATGTAGAGCTACAAATGCACTTCAAAAATCCATCAGAAAAGGTAGTTTTAATGTTGAAAAACCTTTTGATTGATCATCCCAACATTGAGATGTATGATCATGAATAGTAAAAAGATTTCAAGTCTCATAAATAGTGCATTTTACAACATATTACCTATACCATCTATTTTCAAGATTTTCACATGTTTATAGATCTATTTGATTTTAACTATTTTTGAAATTTAAAATTTTATAATTAGATATAAAAATAGATTTTGAGATAATCTTAAGAGCATTTTATATCAAAATTATATACCATGATAAAATTTGATGGTGCACCTTATCTCTACAGCTACGGATGCATCCGTATGCCAACTGCACCTATATATATATATTAGTTTGGGGTCACGTGCTATGCGTTTCACGTCTATGAATTTGACAAATGCCCGAGAAAAATTAGAATATGAATGTGTGATGGGAAAATTACCATATTAAAGATATTTTCATGGAAAAAGTGCTTTGCTTATCAATACAGGAAAGTTACACACAGATGGGTCCGTTATGTAAGCAGTGGAAAATAAATAGACAACCATAAAAATCTATTTATTGACAGCATTGGTTTAGGTTATAACCTTTCATAGATCAACTTTTTTGAATCACCTATAAGTTATAATTGAGCGCATGTTTTCAGGCATTCAAAATTCACAAAAGACGTACACCAAATACACATGCAAAAATGGCAGATGGACATATGTGATCTCAATACAAAGTATAATGTTATCTCAACCAATATATTTTGTTTTATTGATGTCTCTTCATAACTGTGATGAAATTGGTGAAGCATCCACAAGTTTTAGTGCTATTTTTGGAAGTCATCCATTTCATATGGTTAAAAACGCTTTCAAATTACTATGCATTGAATAACAAGCACTTGGCTGAAATGAAGTTATGAACCTAAATAACTAGTTACGCATAAAAGAACCACTTCAAAAAAAAAAGAAAATCACAAGAGAATTGCTTGTTGTTATCCACAACATTCAAAGGATCGATAGATAGCAGTGGTTTAAAAAACGGATCGGTGTTTTGGATTGGGCACCTAAAATACTCATCCGGATTAGTGAGTCGGTAATTCAGATCGGGAATTAGTCGAGTCGGTCAGATTCAGCCTTAAAAAAATCCAAAAAAATTAATAAAATTCATTATAAATGTTGTTTAGGAATCCAATAAGAAATAGGGTACTCTATTAAGAACTTTCATTTTTTTGCATAAATATACGAATATTGAGATGTTTTTTCCCTATATAAATTTGTTAACCATTAAATTTACATCACACAAAAAGAGAAGCATAGAATTATCATGAATGAATTATATCATCATACATGGACTACAATGAAGCATATAATTAGATCTTAGATTATAATTAGAAGAAAAATAGAAAAAAATATATAGATTCTTATACTGAGAGAAACAAGAATATACAATCATTTGATGTATCAATCAAAATTTAATTATGTATCTAGATTCAAGAAGATACATTTTAGTGCATAAAAAAAAATTGATGATAAAATTAAAAAATACAAGGTTTTATTGCATGATAAAAATATATTTGATGCATGATAAAACTGCATTCATGACATAGAATTGGATCATTTGATTATAATTACAATAAAATAGAAAAAAAACCTATTCTTATACTGAGAGAATAAGAACATACATGCATTTGATGTATCACGGAAATTTAATTATAATTATGATTATAATTATAAGAAAATAGATAAAAAAATCTATTCTTATATTGATAGAAATAAGAACATACATGAATTTGATGTATCAAAGAAATTTAATTATGTACCTAGATTCAAGAATATTCATACACTGAGCTTTTTCAACAAGGAAGTCCTTATTTACACAGCATTTTCAGCAAGGAAATTCATATATATATATATATATATATATATATATATATATATATATAGTATATATATTACTATAATATACGTATAGTAATATAGACAGATACTAACTCGTACTATAACTACGTACTTAGTACTTACTACTAACT